ATTTATTAAAAGCGCTAAGGTTGAATTATGAAAATAGGAGAAGGAAAAGTATAGAAGAAATATATCCTCTGGCCATGAATCTTAATGAGGGTGAGTTTCAAAGGAAAATAGAAACCAAATGTAAAATAAAGAGATGAACTTGTTGCCATAAGAGATGTGCTTATAATTAAATTAAACAGCAGTATTTTTGTCTTTTTGTTAAGAGTTTCTCTAAGATGTGCTGGAAAATTAGAAAAATTGATTTAATGGTTAACAGATTTAATAGTTAAACAAAGAAACGATGTATCTATTATTGGTAATATTATTATTAAGTAAGATAAAACATTAGGTTGTTATTTGCCTATATTACATGTCGACTATTTACCATATTTATACATTTATCAAAGTTCCATTACCTAAATCATTTATAATCGAGTTTACATGCATAATTTAAGGCTGAATTTGATGAAATTTACCATGCCAATCCCCGCAAAGGGCATGCGGCGCAAAAAAGGAATTAAATTAATATTTATTACGCACATTTTGGTTGATTTGGTTTTGCACTTGGCTGCACCTTTCCCACGAACTAAACATCAGGACATATAAATATTTTTACACCCATCTGAACATGGACATCGAACACGAACACGAACCGGACAGTTTGCATAAATACTTATTTGGTTATGACAAAATGCTTGACAAGCGCTACATGCAAATAAGTTGTACTCGCAATCTATTTATTTTTATTAATTTATTTACTCAGTACACTCGATGACCCGCTGCCGTATTCAATGTCGCATTTTTAATATTTGTTGTGTGTTTGCATTTTGTTTTGTGGTTTTGTAATTTGCATAAATCAATTCGAAATTATCCAGTGGACTCTGGTCCGGCATATCACATTTCTAATTATGTTGATGGCATTTTTAGTTTGTTTAATTTATGTAAATTGCTCAATATATAGAGACACGGGACTCTGCGTGTTTTTCCAGAGTCACTGATTAATTGTTTTGCGGTGGGTTAATTATTTTTTATAATAGAGAAAAATAACAAGCCTGTGGGGACAGCGAACTCAACACGCACTGCGTCACTAATTTCCTTTCGTTGTTCAAGTGGCAATTTAATTAAGCTATTTAAAAGCTCTAAATATTAGCAATTAATATTAATGCAGCCGCATAAACGCTTGCGACAGCTTACACGATTTAATTATAGATTATGACCGGCTAATAAATTATTTAGCCGCTGCTAGAGCCACTATATTTATTCTTTTTTTACTATTTGTTTTACAATATTTGTTTTATATTCGCTCTTGGGAGTTGGCCTTTCATTGTATATGGACTAATAAAAAAAATTTAGTTAATTTTGTGAAGAGATATTTAATTAAATTGCTATCTGGAGTTTTATTAAAAATCTATGTAAACCATTTAAAAGCTGTTGAAAGGCTTTATTTAATTCCTTTTGCTAGTTTGGGATATTTTTCAGAATAAAAGCTTATTGCCCAGTTCTTTAGAAATAAATCAATTAAAATTTATTGCTGGTAAATTTTATTTTCCAGTTAAATTCTTAATTGCTCATTGTATGCAGCATTTAACCTAAGCTTTTAGTAATTGCTTTTATATTAAGTATTCAAATAGTAATTTTAGCAAGCTTATTAAGATGAAAGACTTAGGGGTTTCTGATGACATCAAAGAAAACACTAAACTGTTAAATTCATTTGGCAAACAATTTTTTATTTAAATATTTTTTTCAATTACATTTAATTTGCAATTTTCATGCTGGCGACAGGAATCTTCTTGAACTGACATATACAGTTTATTATACCAATTAAAAGGACTCCACAGCTAATGCCATTTGTGCACAACAAGGCGATATTGTGCAGTGATTACGCAGCATACAGCTTCCCCTTAATTGGAATCATCTTTTAATTGCCATATTAAGCACGCTCGATAAGTATACGCAGCGTTGTGCACCACACACACACACCGCCGACCACACATACTCTCACAACCAGGACTCGCCTCCTGTGCACACACACACACACATACACAATGCCAAGCAATTATGCATGAAGACGGCATTTAGTTGAAATTGATTGCACTCGAAGAGGAGACATTTGTTGGCTGAATTGAAGCACCAAGTGCCGAGGAACACTAACCCCAAACATTCGATGCACCCTCAAAGACATTCAGGTGTTGAGATGTGTTTGCATTTGGCGTGTGTGCTTGTATCCTTGTGCGTGTCCTTGTGCACTCAATTAAACATCTCGGCTGTCGCACAAAATCCAACATAAACTGCAAGCCTATACACATTTTCCTCTGTCAATCGACAGCCACTGAATGTGGTGTCTTAATTGATAAACTCGGTTCCTAATAACTTGAACATTTTGATTGTAAAATAGGTGAAAAGAATTTTAAAATATTTTAAACAATCTAAAATATATCCACGAAAGCATAAAATACTTTGTTTTGCTGGCTCCTAACATTCAGAATATTTTAATTTATATTTTTCGTAACCACAAAATTTAAATATTCTGCCTTGAATCAATTTCTGCATTAAGCTTCAGCTTCATTTATTCAAACATGTTCATATGTACACTCAAGGGAACTTGCCTCTCAACGCAAATTGGAAATAAATCGAAATCGTAGAAACTCTTGACCCAAAAAGTTTGCCAGGAGAAATTGCATTTATTAATGCAAAATCGGAAATTTCTGCCCAGCTGGCCGGATGTGTGTGTTGCCTTGGGTGTGTTCGTGTGTGTGCGGTGAGGGCAAAAGTCCGGCAAAAAGGCAATATCCTTCAGCAGCTCCATTTATTACGGTATTTATGTGGGGGCGTAAATCAAGAGCACAAATGGCATGGAATTAATAAATGAGTCCACACGTTTCGGCATCAGCAACAACTGATGAACATTTTTTGGCCATATATACTTTGATTATTTTTTCTCAAAAATATATTCCTTGTGCTCGGAAACTTAAAGGATCTTCTCACGTGGCAGGAGTGCACTGAGCTCCTGCCAGTATGCAACAATAAATTTCATTTCCCTGGACGGCACTCAGAATTTATTTGTTGGCTTATATCGCAAGCCCTTTTCATATTTTATGTTAATTAAACTTGTTGCCCTGTTTTCGTTGCAACTTGAAACCAATTACGAAGGATGTGAGTGGGTGTGCGGCACACACACACACTGACAGCCTGTTATGCTGCTTAATTCCTTCAACTCTAACTCCTGAAGCTCGTTACTTCGTTGCATAGTTTTTTGACATGACGCGGGGCGGGGGGAGGAGCGGTCCGGAAAAGCAACGGGGGAAAAGCGTGGAAAATCGCAGAGCACGGGGTGCGCTCTCCAAAGCGTGAAATAACTTCCGTTGCAAATTTCATTTTCGTTGCACACACATTTTTTATTCACACAAAATGCACAATGCAGACACACACGATATACGATATATGATGAGAGTGTGTGTGCTCATGGCAACGTTCGCATTTTAGTTTTGAAAGTTTGTTACCCTTGTTTGGCAGCGAATGGGTTTTAATGAGCTTCAAATTATGACGGCAAATAAGCCGGGAATTATATTCTATTTTCCTTGCGAATATACTATTTTTCAACTTGTTAAACAGATAATTTAATGAAGGAGAGTGAAATTGGGTAAATAAATTCGAAAATTAAATCACAACAATATTGATGTCTCATTGAATAACATCCTGAATAGGGTAATTATTTATTTTTAATTTCGGTTTGTTTAGTTTATATCCATTTAAAATTTTCAAAACACAATTATTATATTATATATTTCATTAAGAACAAAATTAGATCACTTTCAACGAGGTTTTCTTTAAGAATAATTAAAGAAAATATAGAAGCTAATTTATTAAAATAAATGAAAATCAAAAGGATTTAATTAATTTCTTTCTTTATAGATTAAATTTTCTATTAATATCGATATAAGATAGTTGAAAATATACCACAAATTAAAAGTCAAATAAATGATAGTCCTTAAGTATAGAATAGCAAAACTTTCGAGTGTTTGTAAACAACTTGCGTATAAATCATGGCATCTGCATTCGCTCCTTGGACAGCCTTAGGCCATTCTAAATTTATTTGCAAAAGTGTTGAAATGTTGCACAACTTAAATTAAAATGACTTTGTCAAGTTTTCCCTTATTTTTTTTGCATGCACATTTTCCTACCGTGTTGTTCGTCGGGCATTTCCCATGGCACAAAGGCGACTTTTGTGCTGCCGTGGAGAAAAAGTGCTGTAAATAATTTGAATTTAATACTGTTTTCTCCTGTTGGTCTTGATGTTTTGCCCCGAAGTTTGTAATTATTTTCTTACTTCGCCTGCCGCAAGTGTGAAAATCAGCACAACTTTTTCCGTGTGAAGCCATTTTCCTTGTTTTTCCCCTGCACTTTCGGTTTGCCGTTTTTCGGGTTTTGTGTTGCGGTTTTCTTTTTGTGTTGCCCCCAGGACAGTCACAAAACGAGAGGCAAAGTTTCGTTTTTTTACGATTGGGTTGGGTGACCCATTAAAAATGTATAGAAAATAATTTAGTTAAATATTCGGTCAGTGGCTTGCAGTTTTCCTAGGATTTCCCTCCGGTGATTTTCATTTGTATAAGAGTTGAATGGATGGCGGTTTGGGTCTTGGCTTAAGTCGGAGAAACTATTCTCAACGCTCAGATGGTTGGGTTTTCCACCACCAAAAGAGATGATCGGAAAATGGTTGGGGGAAAACCACCACCAAAAGTGGGAGGTAGACAAAAGAGGAGGTAGAGAGAGAGAGAGAGAGAGGGAAAGCAAGAGAAAAAGTGCAGTGATAACAGCTGGTGTTGTATTTTGTGAGAAACCGGTTTTATTTTGTTTGTTTGTTTATTTCTACTTTTCTGTGAGCCAGAGTCAGATTTCCGGTTTTCCCAATTTAGACTGCACTGACTGATTGCAGAGGTCACACGTGTATGGCTGTTATCATATAAAACAATATATAAATTATAAATAAATTAATAATAAAACATTCAAACTGGCTGACATGGATGATTTTTTCAAAAAGTAGAGCGGAATATCCCACCATTTATGATGATCTAAAGGCAATCTTTAAAAATGCTCAAAATGATTCACCGCACCGTTCCATGACGCTCTCTCAAATACGTGGCAAGTACTTTCGAACTTTATATTTAAGAAAATGTATCTAATTTGTTATTATTTTTTGCAGCTGCCTATAGTCAGCGAACTGGTGAGGATTTTCCGTCAAAGGAGGCACGCGTACCCAAATGTGCTTTATCCTGACAATCCCTTATGTGGCCTGCTTCACCAGCAAAATTGGCACTCTACGTTTTTTCACCATTGAAGGGAACTAATATATAAAATACTGCAAAATTTCTAGTCTTTATCGTGCAATTTCAATGTAATTTAGTCGTATACGGTTTGAAAATAAATATGTACTCTTTTTACATAGCTTTTTAAATGCACATATATGTTATGAAATTCTTATCAGAATAATTTCTTAAAGGAGACTTAAAGGAATCGATCCTATAATTTCTAAACTGCAAGAGTATATTAAAACCATTTAAATTATTTCAAAGGTGCACTTTTTGGGTACAACTTTTCGTACCTAAAATTTGAGTGGTTCTTGAAAACAATAAGTTATATTTAGTGGGGATTATAGCGTAACTCTTATACTCACAATTAATAATCTTCGCTAATCTCATATAGTGAAATATATACATTTTCAAATTATATCAGTTCACATTTCAAAAGATGTTTTACGAAAATCTAGAGGATTTTAAATAACTAAGTCAGTAATTAAACTAAATTCTAAACTGCGTATTGTTGAATTACATAACTAATATAATCTTCAACAGTACCAAAAAGATTTTATTGTATTAGGTTTTAAATATACCATATAATCCTAAAAAGCAAAGCCAAAAAATGATTCAAAAGACCAAACAAAGTTTTTAAAATCGTTATAAAAGGGAATATATACACTGACTGTAAAAAATGTTTAAAATTAATCAAATTTATGTTGGTAAAATAAGATAAAATATGTGCAATGTTTTTTAAACACTACAATGAAAAAATAGGTCTCAAATAAAATGTATTCAAGGATATCTATAATAAATAAAATTCAACTTTGCAATGCGACAAAGAATCCCTTCATTAGGTGATAAAAAATTATGTAATTGTAAAATTCATTAAATGTTTGCCTAAAAAGAAACGGAAAAACTCTCGCATAGCTACAAGGGACAACTTCCAATTTCAATTTAAATTCCATTCGATACTCTTTTTTTCTGTTTTTTTTTTTTTGGTTGTTGTGTGCCGCAGATGCCAATTGTAATTTGGGCCATGGCTAAAATCAAATAGCGGCTGGGAAAAAGCGGGAAAAGCAAGCAAATCGGAAAACCTCAATGCAAACAAATGAGCGAGTGACAGCATGCTCGTGTGCACATCAAATCAAATGTATTTGCCGGCGCGGCTTTGGGGCAACAACAAAAAAAATACAGAAGGAAACCCCGGAAAAAAGTGGAGCAGCAAAGCCAAACAACCAATAACACACAAGTCCGGATAAAAGCAGCAGTCGGAAAACAAACGGAATCCGAGGTTGCAGTTTTAGTTTTCTGTGTCCGGAGTTGGGTCACGCAGTCGCAGAATCTCGGGTACCCAAAGGCAAACCATAATGAAACTAAATGCTGGGACTTTGGTCCCAAAAAACAAATTCATTACGGAACTACACCTCAGGGGGTGATAATTCGATTCAGCGAAACTTTGGTGATTATTTATTGCTTCATGCTGTGACTCTGACTTTCTCTCTCCCTGTGTGTGTGGGTGAGTGGGTTTTCTCGGTGGGTTTTCCCCACTCCCGCTCACCACTTTTCCCGTTTTTCCCTGTTTTGGGTTGGCCTTGCCTGGTCCTCTGTCCCCTTGGTGTTTTGCTGTTGGTGTCATAAAATGTTTTGTGGCCCAAAAACTCGGCACTGGAACTCATTATTTTGTTCATTAACACTTTTTTTCCTGCCATGCTTTGCCCCCATTTTCATTCGGTTCCGGTTTTTACTATTTTTCTTTTTGTTTTAGTGGGAAAAAAAGGGGGTAAGGAAAAGTTGGACAGGGTTTTGTCAAGGGGCGGAATATATTATCTAATTTAAGGGAAACGTTTTCCACTTTGAGCAACCTTTTTTATACTCTATTTAAAAGGTAATGTAATCAGTTGTATTAAAACTAAAATTGTCTAAACCGAAATACTAATAAATGTATATATGAAAGGTAATTTTCAAAATAGATTCAAATTAAATTGTATATTCAGTATAAATTTCCAAATTTATGTTTGTAAAATTAAACTATTTTTAAAGAATGTAGAAGAAATAGCTTTAATTAAATGATTAAAAATTCGTCATTATAGGGTTGTGATACTTACTGTTAAATGCATTTAATAATTTATTTTGTGTATTAAATTTCCTCCTTTAGTAATCAGTAAAGAGTACCCCAAGTCCATCATAAACACTTTTATATTTCCATAATATTTATGCCTCCATCTTGGCTCTCTCGTCTCTTGATTTGGATATCCTCCAGGACTATCAATTAAATTCTCCTATCTGCCTTCGGTTTATTTGTGCTTCTGGCTTTTCCTATTTTTTTGTTTCGTTGTTTTTTTCTGTGGCATGGTAAATTTGTATTTATGTGCCTAAAAATAAACATACCATAAAAGCTAAAATGATTTCAAGTTTATTTTTGCATACCGCTGTTGTTGTTAGCTTTTAGTTTTCCATGGACATAAACATTTTTTATGCTTCATTAAGGTTTTGTTTTCGCTGCTGTTCTGTTTTTGTTTTCGTATTGTTTTGGGTTTATTTTGTTTTTGGGGGTAGACTTATCGGTCGCCAAGTTGAAATGTTGTTAACTTTTACTGGCAGAGTGGCTTTAATTCATCAAAAGGCGGCTGTTTTGGTTCGCAGATCCTGGCTGGAGAACGTTTCACTTGGTTATGGCACTTTTGCCGAGTTATAAAATGTTATCGAGGGCGCAGGTTTTTATGTCTCAGGGTCAGATAAATGTGTTTATAGCGTAATCTTTTATTTCGGCAAAGGCTCTTTGGGCAATTCGTTGGTTCTGGTCCTTTTAATTTCTGCGGTCCCTGCCCCACTGAGTTGGGTCTGAGGGGAATGTTTATGACACGCATACGCAGCGTGGGACGTAGTTGGAGAGATTTGTCCTGGGATTAGAACAAAACGTTAAGAGCTAGTCATTAAGCAGCCAAGGCAAATGCCATATATTATGCCAGGAATTAGAAACTTGAGCAGAGATAGAGGACCAAACATTAATTAACAAAAGCTGATGAAAGGCAGGCAAAATGGAACTTAATATTGCTTTAAAATAGTTGTTTCTTATTCAATTTTGTTTATTTAAAAACAAACAAACATCTTTGTGTTATTTTTTCTCCTGGCTGTTAAGAACTTGTAACTGAACATGCAAAAGTTTATATTCAATAGCAATTCAAGCCAGCTGCCAATTGGTGTGAAGTGTTTATGGCTCCTGTGTGCTCCTTCGATGTGGCCCCCTGCCATCGGCATTCAGCTCTAATCGCTCCTAATAACGCACAAAATTGAAAAACTTATGCGATATCATTGGGGACTCCCCCTTGAGCCGTACGACAAGTGCAGCTGCCCGAGGTGGGGATTCCCCAAGACCAAGACCTGGAACTCGGACTCAACTCAACTGAACTGAACTGGACCCGACAACTTGTGACAACTTTAAGCACATGAGGCTGGAGGTCCGGCCAAAGTAAACAGGAGGAAACATACGCAGTGCAAAGAAAATGTTAAGAAATTGTTATTACAAAGACTCTAAAGGGAAATACCCACTATGTAAAGATATTAAAAATATATGAAATATATATTTATTGAAACTGTGATAAGATTATACACAAACCAATTATTATTGAGGAACTATAAAGCTTATGGCATATATATGTTATATTCTTTCTTAAATATATTTAGAAAATTCCACTATGAACATATGATCTTTATAGACACCAACATACCCTTGAAGCAAAATGACTAGCAGGTAAGCATACGGAAGGGAAAAGCGGGAAAAACAGGCAAAAAAAAAAAGAAGAAAAGAAAAGTAAGAGCAGGAAAACTGTCATGATACGCTCGTAAACATGGCCAGCTGGCCAGGATTGAACCTTCGGATCGGTTCGGTTCGGTTTGCTTCACTTCAGTTCAGTTCAGTTGGGTTCGGTTTGGTTTGGTTTTGTTTGGTCGGATTGTGAGGGTGTCCTGTTCTGTTCTGGTGTCCTGGTATTTGCTCTGCCCTGTGTCACTTTGGAAATTGTGCAGATTGTACAGTTGCAGGCGAAGCGGCTTCTGTTTGTTTTAATTTCTCTTATCGGCAGGCAGCTGCCTTGTGTTGCCTGCCCTGCCCTGCCCATCCACCCACATACCTCCGTCGACTCTTCAAGGATCTCGTCCTCCTCTCGCACACGAGGAGCTCCTTTTCCTTTTGCGAGTTGAGCTGCTTCTGCTCGGACTCCCCAGTGCCATACAATTTTAATTGCACAATGGCAGGTCCTTTTGTTTTCTAGCTGTACAATTTTTTAAAATGAATTCATGGCCAGCTTCCCCGGGTCTTCGGGTTATTCTGGCGCTCTTTTGTTTGACGTCTCTAAATCCGCAGAGACGGCTGTGGAGGAGAAGGAGCTGCCAGCCAGCTATTTAATTGAAAGTTGCTTTGTGACTCCTTCGGGTGGGCTAATAAAATGTTTAACTTTGATTTAGTTGAGGGATTTCTACAAGACTGCACTTAAAGTCACTCCAGCAAAACTCACTTGGGCCAGATTTTAAACTCTTAGTGGGAGGAAAGCTTATGAATGTGTATATATTATTGTTTTTATACTTATTTTCTTGGTGAGGGGATAGCTAAGCCAAAGGTGGGAGTATAAGTTAAAGAATATTTACTTTTAAGTTTGCCTAAATTTAATTATGTAGATTATTTATTATAAGGATTATTAATAGAGATTAAAACCTCCACAAATCATCCAATGCATTAATTAACTTCAAGCCCCTTCTCGGGCTGTTATTTATCAATACTTTTTAATTTTATGGTGGTTTTATGTTATGCCACACCTTGCAAAAATATTTTAATTACTATTTTCAGCACCTTTCAGAGTCAGAGAGTTCTGGCTGAGGGTTGGGGGCTTTCAGAGCGATTTGAATTATGAGCAATTAGGCCAGCCACAAGCAAGCAAAATGCTTTTTCCCGGCCTGATTTAAGCCACTGGGTGGTGTTGGTCCGGTGGTCAGGTGGGTGGGGTCATGTGTCAACAGGCAAGGAGCTGCACTGGATTGCG